ACGATTATTTTTATTAAGCATAATTATGATAAGAAATACATGGCCAGGTAAACCAAAAATAGAACACAATATACTTAATATTTTCCAAATTTGTTCGCCTAATAGAGAATAGCTATCCGTCGTGCACAAGGAATCGAATGAAGTCGTGTTATAAGTATCAGCCATATTTCTAATGCATACAATAACGAGTTTGCCACTTAAAACGAACGAGAAGTACTGAAATAAAAAATAAATTATTTTTGATTTCTAATCACACAAAACAACTATTTTCTTTTCATCGGAAACTGAAAACTATATTCACTCTCTTTTATATTTTATTCATAAAATCAATCATCGTATAAAAGCAAATAGAAAGAGGTAAACCTCATTCTTGCTTTTACTTTTCAGCACATTTACCAACTAATCATTCGAACAAAAGAAATCTATTTTGAAGAATCAATATCAATACGAAGTTAGATGAATTTCTTAATTATTATAGTTGAATACTTTTCGTTCGTAACAAACTTTATTTATGTATTTATTTCCAAACGTTTCGATTGACTTGTTTAATGTTCATCATTGAAGACAAAAATTAGATGATAAAAAATTATATTGTGACAAACATCTGTAACCTTTCTTTTTTATACTATCTTTCTTCTTTTCTTTCAGAATATAGAAAATTCTTGCTTGTAAGTTACAAGTTACATGCAGAAAATTTATATGCTAAGAAGAAATTTCTTTGGACTTAATTGTAAAGACAAACAATGTTCATAAACAATCACAGAAAAACTCTGAAAGTCAACGGCTGAACTTCTTTTTTTTTGAAACTTTATTGAAACCTACAGAGAACTTCGTTTCTGCTAATCACCATTAGAAAACACTGTATAAATGAACAAAACAATGTTATCATAGTAAATATTTGCGATCTATACTTAAGTCTTAATCGATGTGTGCCACTTATAATATATATGTCCGATTATATTCATTTTGTCACCGTGATATGAAAATATTTTTTAACATCTAGAAATACTCAAAATTGAGAGCTGCTCAGCTATCTCAAAATAGATACTTTTCAGAGTTCAACACAGACCACGCTTTTGGTCGGACCGGACCGGGCCAGAAAATTTTATAGAGTAGTCTGGTCTGGCTTGAGCCGCAAAGTATTTTGGTCGGATCGGGCTGGGCCGAACTCAGAATTTTTAAGCATGCGTGGATTTATAATTTATGACTCAGTACCAAGAGATGCAAGAAGAAAATCATGCAAAGTGGCCGGGCCGGGCCGGGCCAGATAGTTTGTACGTTTAGTCTGACCGAGCCGGGCTTGGTTCAGAAACTTGCACCACGGGCCGGGCGGGACTAAAAATTTTCGGCCCGTGCGGCTCTCTGCTGGTTTTGCTATCTTGAGATAGCAAAAAAAAGAAAATAAGACTAAAGAATTGGTGAGGATAAGGGTTCACATTTAGAGACCTGACATAACCCGAATCCGACCTGATCTGATTCACTAAATTTTTACTCTTCTGTTTCGTTCTTAAGTTTATGTCTTTTTATTTATCTATTTGTTTAGCGGTGGACATCGCATTACAGGCGAGTGACCTTCTGCTCATAGTCTGCTAATATTACAGGAAATTTGAGCGTTATATCTTTCTAAATTCGCTTTTTATTGAACTTTTCTTCTTGAATGAGAATAGTGTTTTCCTGAAACAAGAGAACATCCTAAAAAAGGCAAGGACAACTCTATCGTTTTTCCTTTGAGATAACATCACGTCATATTCTTCATGCTGAACATATACTGCAGTGCTTTATGCCCATGAAAACCAAAGCAGAAGGTTTGATAGATGAATGAACTAGTTGATATGATAATATGAATAACAACCCGGAGAAGAACATTATCTTTCTGAACAGCAGCGTCTATTCCCACCTGAATATTTGAGGCATTTTGTACTACCTCTTAGGTTCAGTTTCTCAATGTACCACTTGAAAAATTAATTTCTACAGCAAAAAAGCGTATCACCTTACTTTTATAAAATCATGACGTCGTGGTTCAAAGTATTTTCGCACAAACTGGTTTTCCTATGGGGACTATGGAGCAAATTTTCGCTTGTTGAACAGTCAAAATGATGTTATGGGTCTATTCCTCTTTCTTTTTGCTGTTCTAAATTTATTCAGTGGAAATTCTTTTCTTTTTCTTCTTTTTACAAATAAAGCTTAAAAAAAAATGAGACTATGGAGGCGTGCACAAATAATGGCCTGTTTTTATAACTTTTTAAAGTGGCATCTTTTTATGATTGGTCACCATAACGACATCCACAGAGACTTTACACGGCGTCTTTCAAGAGAGCGTCTCAAAATGGTTCTTTTTAAGGGAATAAAAAAGAAATAGAAAAGTCTCGTTAAAATATATAATTACTGGGAATCTCGCCTCGCCGCATGATACCTCAAATCGAGTAATCGCCTCCATCTGCTAGCTAAGAAAGCCATACTGTTGTGTTAGTCAGTCCACTGACTATTACAGAATTATTACTGTTACTACGCATAATGTTCCTTGAGAACAAAAAAGATTCATAACTTTTGAAAGAACTAATATGGGTCCTTTTAGGGTTTCCATGAGCTAACTTTCCTCTATTAACTGACATAATATCATTAAAAATGCAGATGATGGGCATCTGAAGATTTTCTCTCGTTAGCGAATGCAGCTGCTCTGTAATAAGAATTTCAACTGAAAATTCCAGACGAGATAACTTTCAACGAGTAATACAAAATTGAAACTATTATGTACAACAATTATTTTCCACTGTCAACTTATGCTCTTACATCGATTATATTCATTATTAATTATTGTGTAACACATTAGAACCGGTATGCTCAACAATCGCTTGACATTTGTCTAACCTTTCTCTAATCTAAGTTCATTCGACCTTATCTTCGTCTACCAGTTAAGGTCCTTTCCCGGATCAGAAATGCAGATTTTCGTCAAAACTGTCGATTTTGAGAAAAGCCCATGGTTACATAGCCCACAGTGTCTACTTTCTAATGGCATACTTTTTGTGTTGATAGGAGAGGTTTTTCATAGGTTTCGAGCGAGTTTTCCAGAAGCCACGTGGCAAAAATATGGCTTTTTTGCCCTTGTAGTGCATAAGCGCAGGCATGTGTTGCACATGTCCGCGCACGTGTTCATTAGATCCGACTTGACCGATAACCTATAGCAAAATATCGACAAATTACTTAAGGCTGAAAGGCTTTTTAAGAAAAACGCATTTAATAAAATGAAAACTTATTTTGCGTTTTTCTTAAGACTGCTGTTTAGCTTCAGGGTTTTGGCCACGTGCAGGAATTCTCGGTAGCGGTACATCGGAGAAAGAAAATTTTGTTTTTAATTGTAGATAACCCTTATAGGTAGGAGTTGACAGAGTCCGATGTTTAAATTATGCTTGCACTTTTTATAGAAATGAGGATTTCTAAGAAACCTTCGGTGGTTTTTTCAGACTTTGAAGTTCTATTAAGCACCAGAAATCAGTAAATGAGAAATTCAAAAATCGGGCTCTGTCAACTCCTAGCCATAGGTGTTCACTGCAAGACAAAAATAGCCCGAGCTTTCTAACGTTTACCTCGAATGAAAATTCTTGCACGTGGTAGACGCCTACTTTTGGCTCTTGTTGCGAGACCCTCCCACGAACAGTTGCAAATGACGCCAAAAATACAATTTCGTTCCCACACTTTGACATGATCAACATTTTCTGAAAGTTTAGGTTTCTGACCCGGGAGGGGAGTGGGCTTAACGTGACGTACAACAAAAGGGAAAAAATGTTTCTAATTCCTAAAGGCATTCAAATAGCAGAAGAATATTCCCTCAAAATATAGAGATCAAATTCAAGAAGATTTTTTAATTGAGCACAGTTAAAAGGAAATTGTACTTCAATTTTCACCCCATAAATCTATTTAAATAAACTAAGTACATACTGAAATAATTCGATAATTAAATTCAATAAAAACTGATGAAAGTTTTTTATAAAAATGCATTTCGAAGCAATAAGATGTAAAACTAGTGTGCTCAGCCTTGTGAACTAAATATCTCAGTAGAAAAAAATGATGAAGAGTTTCTGAAGAGGCCATTGTGCGGAGAATGAAAAAATGCAACAAATCTGCTTATTCTAATTTCTGTTTGAAGTTTTGGGAGAAGGGAAAGTAGACTAAAGTAAAAAGGTTTAGAAGTGCAAAAGATACCCTTCAGTGACCGGCCTCTACTAGGGTATTTTACATTATTATGGCCCACATCCGACAGCAAAAATGTTCAGTTCGTCAGACTCGTCAAAAGACGCTGTTTAAAATATTTTTTAAATATGTTTTATATAATTACTAAATTTATACCACCATAATTCAAAAACTAAAGGACTTGAAACATTTTGACTTCGGTTTTAGTGGTTTTCCCACTCGGCAATCACCTGATAAAAATGACATCCAATTCTGAGCATCATCAACTTCCTAATCCTGATAGTTCTTACAGAAGATAACTCTTAATGGCATTTTTAAAATTTCCAGATTGTAAACAGTGAATATTTTGATAACGATAGTTTTGTTTCAAAAAAAAGAAAAGACGAACTGAAAGTTATATTTTTTAGTTATATTTCTATTTTGACATACCCGTTCAAGAAATTCTATCATTCACTCGTGTCACTATAATTAATGCAGTTTGCTGTCAGCACCGCTCTTGATTGTTAACTGTTTCAGATATTCAAATTCCATCTCGGATTTATTCTTTTAGTTCATATTTCGTCAAGTAAAAGGCATCTTATGAGACAGATTTAGAATCAGACTTTTGTGCACTTTTTGCACATGTGCTCAAAGCCTTTTATCAGCTTTTGATGCAGAATAGCAAACGGATCTTTAGATTTGATTGATGAGTCGAGCTTCGATGACTGATACACTTACTAATTTCATTATAAGAACAGTTCACTCATTAACAGGTTCAATGAAAAAGAGAGTAAAACAATCGATAATAGCGTAAAAGAAATTTTTTTAGATGATTATACAGATTGATATGATGAACTCGCTGACGTGCTTCCACCGCCACACACTCCTCTTATCTTTGACCATGTAAAACCTAGACCACCTCGAATGAGTGTAGGCAATAGTAACCAAAAATCAAGATTGGGTATAGCCGCTATTCCCGTCTGGTTTTGCTTAAAACGTTTAAATAACAAGCCGCCGACTAAATAAACTACGATGAGTACAATTAAAATAATGACGAATATTGCTCCACCACTGAGACCACCACCAGAGGATCCAATTGGACAAGCTCCTGCAGCTTTCACGATAATATTGAAAGTACATCCAGGTGGTCGGGGTTCATGAACTTCCATTGTTGTTGGTTTTTTAATATTTTTATCACAAATAAATGTTGCTGTCATTGTACGTCTTGGACCACATGTATCACCATTGATTGTAGTCATCACTATTCCTTTGGCATCTTTTGTATATGTAGCATTCGTTGGTTTGCTACCGTCAGTATAAGCTATCACGGCGACAAATGATTGAGTTTTACTTGTTTGACACGCCATAACACCATTAACCATTCTGCCACCACATGACGTCTGCGGAACAATGCCACATGGTGTAAAAGCATAATTGTATTCTTGATCACTGCCCGTCAGTGTGAATGTATTTAATGAATTTAGGTCGTATTTACTAGAACCAAATGTTTGTTGGCAAGATGCCATTTTGTCACCATTAATAATAAGATGACGATGAACGAGTAATAATAAAAGTAATAAGAAAGAATACATTATTTTTTGTAATTAAATTATTCAAGACTCGAACTTTTCAGTTCTATAAGAGATAAATAAAATAAAAGCTATTTCTCCAATTTACTAACCTACAGGTAACTGTTATCATTTTTCTTTTCATTTTCATGTGTTTTTTACCTTTCGGCGAAAGATATTTGTTTTGTTACTCCCTTTGTCATTACATTTTTATGAAGGGGTAAAGTATTTTTCATATCAGTTAGTACGTTTGATTATTATCACTCAATATATTTACTGTCAGAGTATGAATTTCTGCACTAAGCTTTAGTTTGTTGCCAATAATATGATTCGAAACGTTTGGAGGAATTTTCACTTGTTGCTACAAGGATAGAAAAGTCCTTGCCGGGTGATCTTGAAAATAGAACATATGCTATTTACTATGAAATTTTCTCCATATCACAATTGTAGTATTATTATTTTTTATACAATCCTAGAAATTGTAAATAATGAAAGTATGAGAAAAGATGGATGTACCTTTCCTTATGAAAAAGTAAAAACTATACTTTTTTTCAAACGGTCCCCTAGACAAAATTCTACGAATTTCCAATCTATTTGATACGAGAATTCTATAGGATCTTAAAATTAGAGTTCTAGTAGGAAGTCGATAGTAGGCTTCATCGTTCAGTGAATTTTCCTGTTAGGGTCTTATTCTAAAAAGAGAATTCTAACAAATGCTACGCCTTTAGATTATCCCAGATTTCATTAGGATTGTATAGGATTTTATTAAGATCCGTTAGTGGCCGAATCTTCTTACTTTTATATTTTAGAGAATAGTTGTTAGATATTAATATAGTACTTATTAGTGTAGAAAACGGGAATCTTGTGCGTATGTTTGATGGATTGAGACTTTCAAATGCTCACAAAGTGATGCGAGATAATACGAATACAAACACTTTGAAAGAAGGTAAGACAGGGTGATTTTTAATAAGTGCCCGTACAGTGTTTCTTTTTTACGATAGATGATGTGATTCGTCTATACGTGAGTGGCTGTTGTTCTAGAAATGGGCTTGCAGGAGCGCGAGCTAGTTATGGTGTTTATTGGCCTCACAACATTTCACTGAAAGCGCCTTTGCAGCTGAATTTACGTGTCCGATTTTCCCTTTAAAGAATGATAATTTCTTAAAGAAACATTAGTGAGCGGCTGGAAGCTGTTCAGATATCTGAATATCCCAATATATGTATATCTAAATATACGACAATATCTATGTATTTGAATGTCTAAATGTCTGCACAGTGCAATACGGACGCTAAGATAGTTGTGAGACACATTGTGGTTCTAGGATCCAGCCAGGAATTTTTTAGCCACCTTCCTTAGTTACAGGCAAATTGTAGATATTCGAAAATCAAACAGCAGCCTTAAGATCCTACCTAAAGTAAACTAAACCCCAGAGCGATCCTGGTAGAACTTCTGTGATCCTACCAAGAAATGTATAGGTTCCTTACGGGTCTATAGACTAATGTTAAAAAGAAAAATATTTAACGACTAATATTAAATATCAATTAAATATCTTTCCATCTTATTTAAATGTTAGTCCGTTCAATATTTTTCTTTGCTTAAATATGTTTCCTTTATTTTAAAATAATTAAATAATATCCATCTCAGAAAATAATGCAGGTTCCCATTTTTCGAATAACTCAGAGGAAAATGAAGATAGAGACTTGTGGTTTTCAGTTTTCGAAACTAGACATCTGAAACTATCTTTCCACAAGCAAAATCCATTTTTGGAAACATGTCCGAAGGTCGTTTTCCAGAGGATCTTTGGAAAAACTTGCTCAGATTTTTTCAAATTCAAATAGCAATCTATTGATTTTTCTGTATAGGTACATAGTCGGTACATTCTGTAGATAGTCCAAAGTCGAATCATTGGTCCTCAAACAGTCCTGATCTCAACCTGTTGGGCTACTGCATTTGGAACGAGCTTGTACAGGCTGCCAAGTGGAGTAATGTGACGCCGAAAATCATCCTTATTTCGGAGTTGAAACGTGCTGTCAAAGAGTTTCGACAAGATGTGGTGTTTGAAAGTTGTATGTCCTGGACGAATCAATTGTATCGATTGTCACAGAATAACAAAGACTATTAGCGCTAATTAAAAGATACAGTTTTGTAGAGAATTTTATGGTGAATCTTTTGAAAACGAAATAAAGGCTCAGTGATCTAAATTGAACAAGATATCAGCGAAATACTGAGGCCTTCATTTATTCTGGCCCACACGGTATCATATAATCTTGTCAGTTCGAAATCCCCACGTCTTGCAGAAAGAGAAAATCTGCACAAGTTCTTTAAAGATTTTTTTTCTTGAAAATTCTTGATCAAGAACTTGATCAAG